TTAGGTTAGATGTAGCTGTAGTTATAAGTCATCATCATCATTGAAGATATACTCTCCATTTAAGAGAAAATGGAAAATGGCTCATTGAACACAATGCTAAAAACTTGCCATTTCTTCATTAAAAGCCAGATTTAACTACACTAAGGATTGCTCATCAAAAACAGCAGGATTTAAATTACTCATGATTTCAGTCCCATTAATTGGGGTGGTCTCCTTTAAGTCTGGATCCAATTAATTTAAATATACTTTTGGTGTTGAAATAATTTAATAGCTACTTTTTAAATCCAAGCATGAATTTCAGCCATAATTAAAAGTATATTCTAATGGTTACAGAACTGGGGAGACCTAGGTTCAACTCCACCCCAGCAGCCAGCCAATGGTCTTAGATCATAATTGCAAATAAAATCCTACTTACAAAATTTAAAAAGCAGCAGCAGCAGCAGCAAAAACAAATTAAGGAAGCAAAACATGCTTCACCTGATAAATGAAAACAGAATCCAACCAAATCTTCCAGGTTATAAAATCTTGCTAGTTAGATGCCACCACAATAAAAGGTGTTTTACTATTTATGTTAACAAGATGATATGGCACAAAGATCCCATTATAAGCATGCTCCTTATTTAGATAGTTCCACAAATATACACTCTTTGATATTATGATGGAATTAAGGAGACACTTCCTGACAGTGAGGACAATTAACCAGTGGAATAGCTTGCCCCCAAAAATCGTGGACGCTCCATGACTGGAGATTTTTAAAAAGAGGCAGCTAGACATTCACTTGTCTGAGATGGTATAGGTTCTCCTGCTTGACCAGGGGTTTGGACTAGAAGACCTCCAAGGTCCCTTCCAGCTTCTATTCTATTCTATTCTATTCTATTCTATTCTATTCTATTCTATTCTATTCTATTCTATTCTATTCTATTATTCTATTATTCTATTCTATTATTATTTATTCTATATTCTATTTATTCTATATTCTATTTATTCTATATTCTATATCTGTGGTGGCGAACCTATGGCACGCGTGCCACAGGCGGCACTCAGAGCCCTCTCTGTGGGCACGTGCGCCGTCGTCCCAGTCCTAGGCCTTCAGCTGGGTTTTATAAAACCTTTTCACTTTAGGCCTCTGCCGCCCTGTGCAAAAAAAAAAAAAAAAAAGATTCAATCAATCAATCAATTTCAACTTCTTGGGGGGGGGGAGAAAGATCTTGCAAAGTTGGAATTGATTGATTGAACTTTTTAGTCCCACCCAGTCTGCTGTTACCACTGCAGCCACGCCCACCCAATGGGCCATGCCCACCCGATGGGCCACGCCCACCCGGCACCCAATGATACATAAGTGGGTTTTGAGTTGCAGTTTGGGCACTCGATCTCTAAAAGGTTCGCCATCACTGTTCTATATTCTATTCTATTCACAGTGAAATTGTAATGTTCATGAATGTTCATTAAATACAAAACTCCATCAAAATGACAAGTTATGTCATTTGCATAAGATCAGTGACACAAAGTGCATGATTAATTAATTCCTACAAAAATTAATGGCAAGCTGTAAGTAATATTCACAATTTACATTCATTCTTACAAAGAAAACCTTTCATATATGATTTTTTTATAATAGCAGTATAGTCCAAGTTTTGCAACTTACCAGAAACCTTTGACATTTAGGTATTTGTGAAAGGTAATTAAAATTTATTAATTTTAATTTATTAATTTTAATTTGATTAAAATGTATTTTCTTCAAAATTTCATTAAACATTTATTATATATACTGCTTTTGTTTTTCAACATATTACTGAGTTAGTTCTTAATTAATATAATGAATTTTATGAACATTGAAATGATACGGAACTGACCTGTGGGAAAACTGAAATTTTGAAATGCAGTTGGGAAATGTTTCACTAAAATGATAATGGTGAAGGGAAAGGCCTCATAAAATTTCTGAGAATTAAGTCTGCCAATTTAATGTTATCTTTGCTGACTCCAAAATGCTCTATTATGTACTTCCCATGTTCCCAGCATGGTGTCTTCGTAATGAAGGTGTGAGTTCTGTTCTCCTTGGATCATCCAATGCTCAGCAATTGATAGAAAATCTGGGTGCCATACAGGCAAGTACAAAGGCTTGTTGTTGTTGTTCAGTCACTAAGTTGTGTCTGACTCTTTGTGACCCCATGGACCATAGCATGCCAGGCCCCCCTGATCTCCACTGCCTCCCAGAGTTTGTCCAAATTCATGTTAATTGAGTCGATGGCACTATCTAACCATCTCATCCTCTGCTACCCCCTTCTCCTTTTACCTTCAATCTTTCTCAACATCAGGGTCATTTCCAATGAGTCCTCTCTTCTCATTTGATAGCTAAAGTATTTGAGCTTCAAATTCTTTTGGATTAAACAAAGCAAAAAAGAATGACCATTGTATGGAGATTAAAGGCATTACAGAATTCAATTTTTCTTGAGTTCCTTTGCAATTGGAATTCAATTGCAATTGTTTTAAGCTGTGTTTCAAAATCATAGAGCAACACTAATTAAAGTACATGTGTGTTTCTTTGCCTACAGGTTCTTCCAAAGATGACATCTCACATTGTGAATGAAATTGATAATATTTTGGGGAACAAACCTTTCTGCAAAAAGGACTACAGATCCTAATGTACTGCATGATTAGTCTGGACTGCATGGCTAAACAACAGCTCTGTGCATAGTAGTACCGAGTTGATACTATCCAGTTACAATACAAAAATACTCTGCAATTGTAATTTACTAGATCCTCCAAGGCAGTTATGTTCCACCAAAATTCAGTAACATAGCTGATCTGTCTAAACTAAATTGTCTTTACTGTTTTTAAAATATATCAAATCTTAAGAGTTTGGATTAAATTTTGACTGAGATCAATTTGACTCTAATGAAAGAATGAAAAACACAAAAAAATGCAGAAACATCCAGTTAATCGGGATTTGTGTAGGATTTTCCTAACAGATTCTGATCCCACTGAGTCTTATTTTTCTTTCTTCCTATTTATGCCGTGAAAATACAAAGAATCAAAGATTTCTAAGCCTTAGGTACTTGAAAATAAAAAGAAGGATGTATAGCTATATTTTTTCAATAAACAAAAAGCAAGATACAGTTGAAAGCTTAAGACAATTTCAGGGATTTAGATTCTTCAAGCTATCTTAACTATAGGTAAATTCAAAGTTTTGCCATTTGCATTTTTAAATAGAATTGATTTCTAGATAAACTGTTTAGCTTGGGTTTGGGCTGAAATAAGGGTTTACTGTTTAAAGACAAAAAAAAATTGAGTAATTAGAGATTGCTATGTCTATCATCTAATTTTAAAAAATGTATCTGTTCCAGCCAAGCACTTATAAGCAAGATTCAGACTGTAAACCTGCAGGCAGGACTAACTTGTTTTTATTGCTATTATATAAGCCATTCTGGCATGCTGAGAACTCTGCTTGAAGCACAGTGTAATAATGCTTTAAGAAAGAATGCTTGGAATTGCTGTACAATCCCATTGAAATAACATAATTTTAATGTGATTTCGGCTGGATTGTAATGCATTGTTTTAAAAATGTCAAGTTATTTTCTGAAGTGTAAGTACTGAAGTAAACAGGTACCATGGAGATTGCCGTAAGATGTTCACTGAAGAACACTTAGCCAGTGAAATTAAGAGAAAAATTATTATTGCTACTGAAATGGAAATTGAAATGCTGTAGTTAAATGCTCTTTTACTAAAATCTTTTTGGCAATGTCTAGGCAACTGTATAATAAATGTACATAGTGTGTAGAGCTGTATAATTTTCTGATAGCCATGTAGATGAAATATTTATCACAGTTCAATGAAATCCTCAGATTTTTGTTTGCTCGGTTCCTTTCCTTCCCCCCATTCCATTTGTAAATTGCATCTGTGATTGTTATTATTGCAGCATTAGACCAACAGGAGTAAGTGCTTGGATTTTTCAATCATCCTGTCCATCTGAATATTAAAAATGGCCAAGTATTAAACCAGACTAATGAATGCCAGGGCTGCATTGTAGAATTTGGGTGCAAATTCTGTGCGTGCATTTGTTGTAGCATATTAAAGGCTGTATTTTTATTTGCACATTATCTGTTGCAGCCATGTGGCTAAAAGCCAACAAAAGCGAACAGAAATGAGGTCACCATATGGTAAGAATCTGTACAAAAAAAGACATGGGCAGCCATGTGCATCAAAAGAGTCTCTGTTCTGTCACACTTGCCAGGCTTTATTTACAAGTTTCCATGAAAGATACTCCAAATGGACAAAACCATGCAATTTTCTTCGCAATTGTAAGGAAACAAAGGGTATGAAGTCTCTGGCCACACCCTAGATTCCCATGTAGTCCTTCATTTAAGGACCCTTACCAATCTGGTTAAGCTTTTAAGTCTAAAATTAGCCTGGTACTTAAGGAAGGCAACTACTGTTTGTGCTTCAATACCGTGTAATTTCGAGCTCTTAACCATGCTTGTATCTTTTTTTCTTCTGTATTTTGCTTTTGTTGGTTACAGATACTTGGATCCATCCTTTAACACCATGCAGAATGAACTCTACATAAAGTATTTTCATTTCCTGCGCATTACATCCCAGAAAAAGGCAGTTTTTCCATGGGTTATGATAGTCTACTTTGATAGCAAAGAACCCTTATTGTAACAGAATAAATGCCATGCACTTAAGGGGTTTCTTAGGGTTTGCCTTTGACTAGAAAGTAACATTTTTCTGTTCTGTGCAATATCAGATGATTATAGGTTCTGATGGTGCAATCCTGTGCATTTTTAAAATAAGTTTAAAAGATCTAAAATCGTCTCTTGCTAAATATTTATGGGGTCGCAATTTATGATCAAGATCTAAACTACTCCAGTGCTTTAAAATGCCGACTATCAACTATGCATTACATATTCCTTATTTTCTGCTATTGAACATTATTAAGTCTCCTACCATACAAATTGACATATTTCTTTTTGCAATGGGACTCTTAATTTAGACTAGTGATTTGTATACTCCAGACCATGTTCATGGAGATCAAAGGCTTCCAGTTCCCCTTTGTACAAAAGTTATATGGTTTTGCACATTTATCCAATACACTTGTGTGGCCCAGATGCCAGTAATTTATTACATCTCTTTCCAACCTAAAATAGCATTGTCTGTTCACTTCAGTGGAAACAGTAAGGTCTAATGATGTTCTTTAACCAAGATGTATCAAGCTCCGAAATAAAAAGACAACACTTCCATGATGCTTGTCTGAATTGGGGGAAGGAACACCTGCATATATTGTTCTGAGGTTTCTAAGACACCATCTCTACATCCAGCATGTTCCTCTTGTTTGAAATTTCATATGGCAATCCTGTGAACAAAGCAAGGTCCTGGGATTTTAAATAGATCCACCCTTTTTAATGTTTCTATTTCCTTCAGTATTCTATGTAAATGAATTCGATTGCTGTATACTAGGAATTGCTTTCTACTTTAGCTTGGACACAATAAAGGCATTTTGTGCCCCAAATATATGACTGGATCTATTGATGTTTGAGCAGGAAAAGAAATATTCTAAGGATTAAGTGCTGTTTCAATGCTGTTTTTAGTTGTTTTTTTTCCCATCCAGCAATAGCACTTAGATTTATAAACTGCACCCATAATGCTTTACAGCACTCTCTGGGTGGTTTACAATGTTAGCATATTGCCTCCAACAATCTGGGTCCTCATTTTACTGACCCTGGAAGAATGGAAGGCTGAATCAACGTTGAGCCCATCAGGATCAAACTTCAGGCTGTGGGCAGTGTTAGCCTGCAATACTGCATTCTAACCACTGCCACAACAGGGCTAAGAAAGTGTATGTTGCAAAATAAAGCCAAACTATTTCTCCAAGAGGCACAGGATGCTAATTTAAAATTATGTGCTTCTTTATAATAAGAAATGTATTCACTGGTACTTGAGATAACATAATACAAATTTGATTTGTGCTGTATTGGACTGAAGCAGGCAAAGATACTTTGCAACCAGCATGGGCAACTTCCACTATGTGTTACCATCTGAACTCTTCTTTACCTCAAGCCTGTATTGCTATTGTACAAACTCAGAAAAATATACGCCTTCTTTGAGGAGGAACAGAGAGGATGGCCACTTTGGATTTGAATATTGTACACATGTAATGTTCAGATACATGGCAAACAGCTTTATGCCTCTAGCAAACTATTATTTTTAGCAATTTCTACAAGTCTGAAGATTTAATATATTTTCATGCTACCTCAGTCAATAGAATCGGTGTCTTGCAAAAGCCAATGTATATAATATCAATAATATCCATAAAATGTTTAATATTTAGTAATAGTAATCATTGCCACTGCACATCCCAATACAATCTCTCTTTCACTCTTCAATCCCCCCCCTACATAGTACCTCAAAAAAGCCAGATCTTAACAAGGTTTCAAAATGTTAAAAGTGAGGGTGGAGATCGTATTTCTGAGATAACTTACTCTCCTCACAGGAGGGTAGCTATGGTAGAGAACGCCCAGCTCAAAGTCACCTCTTTGAGAAATGGGGGAAGGGGTCATTCTGGTGTCTCTTGAGTAGGCAGTTTCAGCTTGGAGCAAAATTTGGGAAATAATCAGGTCCCAAACCATACAAGCAGAGTTGGAGACTGGGCCACAGTTGTCAAATAAAGCAGGCCCAAGCCTGGGCCCTTGAGGAAAAAGTGCCCAGGTTGTCAAATTGGGCACAACTCATTTAATAACCACCTTGCTTAGCAATGGAAATTCTAGTACCAGAATTTAAGTCAAGAATTATCGTTATCACAAATTTACATGTACAATCACTGTTTTCAGCAAAGCTTTTTTTTAATAAGAATGTAACAAAAACCCCAAAAACTTCTAATCAAGAATTCCAGATCTAGCTGTTGAAGTTCTCAAATGATACAACTGGATCCCTATGGCCACCCGAATGATCAAACGTATTTTGAATAAGCATATTGCAAGCCTAAATTAGAATGCCTCATCTTCATGGTATTATTTTATAACAAAACTGCTCCCCATTCTCATCCCATCTTTTACAAAAAAAGAAAAAGACCAATGTACAGAAAATGGCACTTCAACCTTCTTCTGATTGGGCAACACAGAGTTGAATTCATGTACTCAAACAAATTCTATCTACTTTGAGCCTGTAGATAACAAAGCAATCAGTCCAGATGAAACACTGATGGAGAGAATGTAATTTCTGAAAAAGCAATCGTCAAGGAAAATGTTAGTAAGATGGATTATATATATCCCAGGATTTCTTACTGCAAACAAATGTCTTGCGAAAGAACTGTGCAACAAACAGCTCCCATGTACACATAAATATATGAATACTATCATCTGATATCAAATGCAAAAAATCAAGGCACTTGGGAACAATCAACAATTCTCTTTGGCAGTGATATGGCACCTCATCAAATCACCCGTGTAGGCCACTGAATCCAATCTTCTGGCAGGCATAGGAATCAAAATGAACACAAGAAATTGTTGCCCAGTCTATGCTTGAAAACTTCCAATGAAAGTCTGCCCACCACCCTTAAGGGTAATTAATTCTAGGACTCTTTCTGCAACTTAAAATCCAGCAATATTCAATATTCTGCATTGCAGACTGGGAGAAAACAGCACTTCACTTTCCTCTATGTGACATCGTTCTCCAAGTTCTATGTTCCCAACTCTGGTTCAATACAGAATGTTTTGAATTCAAAAGTAAATTGATCAGGGAATTTAAGTTACGTAAAGAGAACCCAGTAGAGCATCCCATCCAAGTTCTATGTGGCTCCCTTTCATTTAAAGACTACAACTATATTTTTTCCTCATTGCATTTGCTAAAGGCACCCAGTTCCTTCGCTCTTTCTTCATAGGGCTTAATTTCTAGTTCCTTGATCACTTTCAATGATCCATTATGAATCCTTAAATTCTGGAGTTCAGAACTCACAATACCCAAGGAGCAGTTTGCCCAAAGAGAAAAGAAAGGAATGGTTACTTCCTGTGTCTGGGAAATTATATTCCTACTGATGTAGCTTAACATTACATTACACTAATTTGTTTTGACTTGTATGCCATCCATCTCACCTAGTGGTGACTTTTTGAAGCCAAATCACACAGTTTAGCCATATTAACCTGCAATCCATTTTCACTCTAGACCAAACTGCCGGCCTGCAGGCCAGATGCACCATAGCAAAACCGCGCCCACCCTATTGCCGGCAATGGAAAAGTCACGACACGTCATGTTGTGAGTTTGACACCCCTGCTCTAGACTAATGCTTTCACATCTACTACTACCAAACCAGGAACCCCTTCCTATACCTATCCTTTTATTTTAGTCTCCTCACTGAAGAATTTACTACATGATATTGTTAAATTCCATTATTTTACTTTTAGCCAATTGCTTTAACCTATCAGGATCATTTTGAATGCTGTTTAGAGTTTAGCCAATTCTGTTGATTTGTAGATTTCAGTAAACATTCCTTCCAATTCCTCTTTTCACTTAATTGATACTGGCTATAAAAAGCCAAAAAAGCTGCAAAAAAAAAATCATAAGGTTGGTAACAACTTACAACTGTAATGGGGAGAATTAGAAGTGATGCTTCTAATTCTAACAAGGTAATAGTTCAATGCTCTCTGCATGTGTTTTTCTTATTTACAATTTAAAGAGCTACACAATTGGAAAAAAATTGTTTTGGCCAGCAAGACTGACTCCTGACACACTGTAGGAGTCCATTGGAGAGCTACAGAGATTTTTATTTTGCCTTTTTGATAAGAGTGAATCTTAGTATGGTAATTACAACTTACTCCTTCCCATATCTGAATTATATATATTACTGGTTCGAAACCCTTTATTTCTACAAATAACTTAAAAAACTAAAAGAGGATACACGGTGGGGTTGAGGTTCTTCAACACAAAAAAGGAAGCAACAATTATCAGAACGAGGAAGAGGGTATTATTGTAAAAGATAGAGAAAGTTGTTGCTTCATAGTCTGCCACTTCATTCTTCTTCCACAAAATTCTGCAAAGGCAAAAAAAAATGTTTATTTTGATGTACACAGTAGCACTTTGGCACTGACAAAACCATTTTTTCCCATTTTCAGTTTTGTAAAAAAAATGATATTTTTTTCATTATGTAGATATTGATTTTTCTGTGGATTTTAAGATTCTAAAACTGATTACTACAAAACTATTTCTCCAAATATGACACCTACACTCAGGGAAATACAATTTCTCCTACTACATTGTGTTTACCACCAGCAAACTGATTAAAGTTGACAAGCATCGGAGACCATTTTTCAGATCAGTTCTTAAGAGGATTTGGTTCCTTGCCAACTAAGTCCATGGACATTTTTCAAACAAGCATGTAATAGTTTTTAGAAGTGAAATAATCTGTAGCTTATTTTTGAAAGATAGTAATTATTGAAGTGTCAATGAATATCAAAAAATGAAGAAAACTAAGCCTTTTTTAAAATAAGTTTTAAAAATCATTTCTAATGCACATTATATAAAATGGTGAATGACAAATACCAGATTAAAAACTACTAACAGACACCTTTAATTTAAGACAATAACAGATTTAGACTCTCAAAAGGGACCATTAGTTAGTGAATTAGTCCATACTTACTGCTTCATAAAAAAAAATCAGCAAAGCAGGTTTTCTCATGAATGTGTTTTGCAGTTCAAAAATGCCCGTTCACTGATTAACAGATACCTAGTTTTAACAGGCATCCCTTCACTTCTACTGTTTCATTAAGGAGTCCTAAATTAGCAAGCACAAAGTTTGCAACTCTAAATCAAGTATGCTATAAAATGGTGAGAATCAGCAAGTTGACCCCCACTGAAACCTCCAGCTTTAGAACTCTATTTGAGAGTAAGGGAATCCAATTACTGAGTAAGTAACATTGTATGATTGGATAATGGGAGAACATCACCTCTCATCCTTCTCCTTGCGTGACATCTTCCTATTATCTGCTTCGGAAAGCTTGCGGGTCACTTCTTTGGAAACAGCATCTTCCCGCTTCTGGGCTACCCTAAAAAAAGGAAAGCATTGACATCCCACCTTTTTATTAAAGCAATCAAATAATGTAATTATCAATTTCATACTACAGGGTTTGGACACTTACAGTGCCCAGCCCAGGCAACCATGATCATTCGCAGACCATATGGCCAAAGTTCAAGGTATACTCCACTATCCTTTTTTTCCCACCACGGTAGCTGTGTCCATCTCCCCCCCCCACTCCATAGGTCAAAGAACATCTATTAATAACCATGTGATTAGACATTTCCCTATGGTCCTTGGAGACCAAACCACTTTTGAAAATACTTCCTGTAGCTCCCATTTAACAAAGATTAGCCCTCTCTATACAACAACAAAATTATCTCCATGGGCGAACATGATGATGAACATGAGAGTCAGTTGGATCTAATGATTAAGGTAGGAGGCTAGAAACTGGGAGACTTGAGTTCTAGTCCTACCTTTATTTATTTATTTTATTTATTGAATTTATATACCGCCCTATCTCCCTTACGGGACTCAGGGCGGTGAACAGGTGATAATAAAAACCATGATAAATATAGGCAGTTCTAAAATCAAATTAAATAACGGGCCTGTTCTAAAAACACACCCATACAAAAACCCCCACTAAAACATAATCAAACTACGCCAGGCCGGCCGCACGGAATAGATGGGCCTTCAGGGCTCGGCGAAAAAGGCATGAATGCCACCTAAGTGACTTTGGGCTAGTCAACCTCTCTCAGCCCAATTCACCTCATAGGGTTTTTGTTGTAGGGAAAATAGGAGGCTGAAGAAATATTAGGTATGTTTGGTGCCTTGTGTTATTTATAAAAATAATAAAGGCAGGATAAAAATAAAACAAAATAAAATTCCATAGGCACAAAGTCATATTAAAGTGAAAGTCTCAGCACTGATTAAAGAACAATCAATCGATCAGTTCTGTTTCACACAGATCCAGACAGCATTCCTGGGATCATAAAAAAGTAACAAAAGCATATGTAAACTGATAGCAGACAATTGCTGGAAACATTCAACTTTAGTGGGTTCCATCAAACATATTTAGATCAAACGTAGATGCATTTTAATACAAAATTAAAAAAGAAGGAAATTATTCTTGCTGACTATTAGCGATGTGCATTTTCCAGGAAATTTTAAGAGAAAATATTAAGGTAAGAGCTATAGAAAATGTTCATTCTTCATTAAAAAAAAAAAGCATTCAATCAATGGTATATTCATTTCTGTTACTCAGGGACAATCACATGAAATATTTCAGTTAAAGTTTCAGTTTTGAAAGTGCATCAAACACTGCAATTGCTATTGAAATGCATTAATAATATGCAAAACGTATTTCTCTATGGAAAATTAAATACTGTAAAACTTCGCAATCTGTGACTGGCAGCTTTAGAAACCTTTCCAAATGCAAGGCAAAATATTTATAACTAAATATGCCATGATGATTTGAAATGAATACAACAAAATAGAATAGAACAGAACAGAATAACAGAGTTGGAAGGGAATTTAGAGGTCTTCTAGTCCAACCCACTGCTTAGACAGGAAATCCTATATCATTTCAGACAAATGGTTGTCCAATCTCTTCTTAAAATCTTCCAGTGGTGGAGCATTCACAGCTTCTGGAGGCAGGTTGTTCCACTGGTTAATTGTTCTAATTGTCAGGAAATTTCTTCTTAGATCTAGGTTGCTTCTCTCCTTGATTAGTTTCCATCAATTACTTCTTGTCCTGCCTTCAGGTGCTTTGGAGAATAGGTCGACACCCCACCACCTGCCTGTTCTTTAGTTATTGGAACATTGTTATCACGTCACCTCTAGTCCTTTTTTCTTTTTTAAAAATGGTTTTTAACAATTCATCTGGGGAAAACTGAAAAAATATTTTGCAGTTTAGTACATTTTTATAGAAACAGTTTTACTACCTACTTGTGCTTAAGAACAAACTTCACATTCTTGTAAGCAAAAGCAACCAAATAGGTGCTGACAAGGGTCATTACAGAGTAGAGGACTGCAGACTGAAAGAGGTCCATGTGCCAGATTCGCCAGTAAAGCCCTAAGGTAAAAAAGTTTTAAAGATAGTTATGATTTGATTATTAGCCTGCACAACACATCTTGGTTGACTTGCTATAATAAAACAGTTATAAGTGGTCCTTGTTTGGCAACCACAATTGGGACTGGCGACTTGGTCATCAAGCAAAGCAGTCGCTAAGTAAAACCACAAATCTGCCTCATGATCTTACTTCAGTGTTCCTTTGCTTTTTGGACCTGAGAAGGTCGTAAATGCAAGGACTAGTCATGAAGATTTGTTTAATAAATGCCATCTCTTACACAATTTCAGTTACTATAGATAGTCCTAAACTTACAAACCATTCATTTAGCGATAGTTCAAAGTTACAACAGCACTGGAAAAAGCACTGAAAAAAGCAACGGGCAACTATGTGATGAAAATTTGTGAACTTGGTAAACAGCATGTTTGTGAACTTGGTAAACAGCATGTATTTAGGATGGCTACAGCATCCCAAAGGCACGTGATCGCCATTTGCAACCATCCCAACCGGCATCTGATGAGCAAAGTCAATGTATTTGCCTAATGACCATGTGATTCATTTATCAAACGCAGTGATTCATTTAACAACTATGGCAAAAAAATATTGTAAAATCAGATACAACTCACTTAACAACCACCTTGCTTAGCAACAGAAAATTCTGGTCACAACTGCAGTTGTTGAGGGCTACCTGCACTACTTCCAAAACCAGTACTTCAGACTGACTTGGAAAAAACACCACCAATAAGTAAAAATGCACGATTTGCCTGAACATATCTTTATGAACGATGCACAAAGGAAGATAAAGGCATTCTTAAATTCAGCTTAAGAATTCAGCGCCGTTTTCCTGGCAGTCATTTGCCACTTGGCTTCTAAATACAGGTAGGCCTCGATTTACAACAGTTCATTTAGTGACCGTTCTAAGTTAAAACGACAATGGAAAATGTGACTTATGACCGTTTTCACTGTTATGACCTTTGCAGCATCCCCATGATCATGTGATCAAAATTCAGATGCTTGGTAACTGGTTCAGTTATGGTTGCAGGGTCATGTGATCAGCTTTCATGACCTTCTCACAAGCAAAGTCAATGGGAGAGCCCGATTCACTTAACAACTGGGTTACTAATTTATCAACTGCAGTGATTCACTTAACAACTGCATCAAGAAAGGTTGTGAAAATGGGACAAAACTCACTTAACAAATGTCTCACTCAACAGAAATTTTGGGCACAACTGTGGTGGTACGCCAAGAACTACCTGTAATATTTAGTTATCGAGCCATAAATAGTAATAGGGTAATAATGCTACATCCTACAAAGTACTTCCATTAGGCCAGCGGTCCCCAACCTTTTGGGCACCAGGGACCGGTTCCGTGCAAAGAGGTTTTTCCACGGACCGGAGGTTGTGTGGTTTTGTGCGCTGCCTGCATCTCGCAGATGGGGGTTTGCTTATTTGTGCGGCCCAGTTGTTGGCATGCCGCAGCCCAGTACCGGTTTACAGACCGGGGGTTAGGGGCCCCTGCATTAGGCTACCTTTAATTCTAAAGCAAAGGTGTTAAGATTGAAATTCTAAAGCAGTGATGGCGAACCTTTTAGAGACTGAGTGCCCAAACTGCAACCCAAAACCCACTTATGCATCGTCGGGTGCTGGGTGGGTGTGGCCCATTGGCTGGGTGTGGCCCATTGGGTGGGCATGTCTGCAGTGGTAATGACAGACTGGGTGGAATTAAAAAGTTCAATCAATCAAATCCAACTTTGCAAGATCTTTTTTTTCCCCGCGAGAAGTTGAAATTGACTGATTGATTGAACCTTTTTTTTTTTTGCACATGGCAGCAGAGGCCTAAAGCGAAAAGGTTTTATAAAACCCAGCTAAAGGCGTAGGACTGGGGCGATGGCGCGCATGCCCACAGAGAGGGCTCTGAGTGCCACCTCTGGCACCCGTGCCATAGGTTCGCCATCACTGTTCTAAAGCAATCATCCAGCCAATGCAGTCTAATTTTCTGACCCTTCATTATTAATATCTGAGGAGGAGAACCTGCAAGTGCTTCAAGCCAGAAAGCACCTAAAACAAGAAAGGTGCAAGTTTCCCTTAGTCCAGGGGTAGTCAACCTTGGCTCTTTTATGACTCGTGGACTTCAACTCCCAGAATTCCTGAGCCAGCTGTGCTGGCTCAGGAATTCTGGGAGTTGAAGTCCACGAGTCATAAAAGAGCCAAGGTTGACTACCCCTGCCTTAGTCGTTTTGTTTGAGGTGGGGGGGACTTTTCTCCCAGTTCATTCTGCCTAGAAATGTTGAGTTGGAGCTCTCACCCCCCCAGAGACCAGCTTGGGGCCAGCTGTGCTAAGGAAGATTTCCACCCCACCCCACCCCGGCGAGGCTCTTCTGGCTTTCCCAGATGTGGGACAGGCAGAATTGGCACCGGGTGCAGTCGTCTTCACGTCGCCACAAGAGGCATCAATTCTCCCATTGAATGTCTGCTTGTTGGCGGGCGGCAGGCGAGGCTAGCCTCACCAGGAAGGAAGGAAGAAAGGTGGGGGGACGACCCAGCGCCGTTCCTTTTTCCCCTCCACTCACATATCGGGATAGCCGAGACGATGAACGCGTTGCCGAAGAACAGCGCCGAGGACTTGGCCGAGAGGTTGCGGCTGAAATCTTGCAGGAGCAGCTCCTCTTCCGACTGCTGCCGAGCCCCGCCGCTACTGCCCTTGGGAGCCATCGCTGCCGCCGCTGCTGATGCTGCTGCTCTCCTTCCCAACCCGAAGCCAAAGACAGAACGGTGCTGACCCCCCGCGGCCACCGTACTCGCCAACAAGCGGACACGCCGCACAGAACGAAGAGGCGGGGCTTCTTCCGGTTGGAGAGTACTTCCCATGTCACGCCTGGTTGGCGGATAGTTCTGTTGCCTTTTTTTCTTTATAGATCCCCCCCCCCTCTTAAAATGTGCCGCTTTTGTTGTGGAAAAAAAGCAAAAAATATGAAGAAAAAAATCCTCTGTCTCGGGAGAAAATGTATGGAGATATATGGAAGAACCCCTTTGGGCCCAGGGGTAGGCAACCTTGGCTCTTTTATGACTCGTAGACTTCAACTCCCAGAATTCCTGAGCCAGGAATTCTGGGAGTTGAAGTCCACGAGTCATAAAAGAGCCAAGGTTGCCTACCCCTGCCTTTGGCCAAGTTAATAAAACTTCCGGGTCCTCAGATCTTTGCTGACGTGTCTTAGGATTCCGTTGTGGGGAGGGGCCTGTGAATGGAACTGTCGGGAAGTGGAAGCGCGGAAGCGCGGCGCGGGTGTGGCGAGGTGCCGGTTCGAATCCCGACCTGAGTCGCCGCCACTGCCACGTGGGAATAACCGCGAGTTGTCCGTGCTCCACGTGGAGCGCTGGACTTGCGTTACCCCCGTTGTTTAGCATAGAGGAAGGCAGCCTTCTGGAGTCCCTTGGTTGTAGAGCTAAAACCCGTCTATGCCTGTCCTGCCTGGGGAAAAGGCTGCTGTGCTAATGGCGCTGAGATGCGGGAAGGAAGGGGGTGTTTCAGGAAAGTATTTCCGAAGAGGTAATGCCCAAGGTTTGAAAACGGTTGCTCATTTTTGGAAGCGGGCGGGAGGGAAATTGGCAATGAAAGACTTCCCCCGCTCAGAACAAGCGCCCTTCCAAGAAATTATTTTATTGCAATTGTATCTTCCTCCCCTCCTTTCAGCAGTTGAAAATGGCTCACATAAAAACTCCCTTCTCCTATTTCTCCCCGTAAGCACAGTACAAAGCTGTGTGAGGTACGTTGGTGTCGAGTAATTTGCTTATCTGAATATGTCTATGGAGATTCTTAGGCATCCAGGTCATAGCCTATCTCAGTGTTTCTCAACCTTGACAATTTTAAGGCATGTGGACTTCAACTCCCAGAATTCCACAGCCAGCTTTGCTGGCTGTGGAATTCTGGGAGTTGAAGTCCACATGCCTTAAAATTGTCAAGGTTGAGAAACACTGCTGAATATATTTTTAAAATTATGTCAGTGGTGCCCTTTATATACACGGTATTTTTAAAAACTATTAAGGACAGTGTTGCCTTTGGGCTCTAATGCAAGAGTACAGCCAGGAAGTTCTTCCTTTCCATGAAAATGGTTCTCTCGTTTGAAGTTTTGTTAAAAAAAGGAGTTATTAGAAGTGGCATATTTCTTGCCGAACCATTGGAGTTACTTATGGGTGGGTCACGTGTTTTTTTGTGTGGGTGTATGTGTGTGTGAGACAGAATCTCGATTTAGTAAGTGAAGATTGGATATTACTACTGTCAGTCAAAAATGGTAACCTTAGGATACCCAATTTCAGTTAAAACTCCAGCTTTTGGTAGGGAGGACTGAAGGAAAAAGGATTTTTGAGATGTGGGTGGAAGGAAGGGGCAGAGGGAGTCCTAGCCCTAGAAAAATTCACAAGAGAGATACATTTTCTTCCTCCAGTTGAAGCTACAGTGGAATAGTTGAACCCATCAGCTGGAGATGTCAGACCTCCTGTCCCAGAAATCCTCTGTGTTTTCATACCTGACTGTGCCTCCTGATTTGGGGTAGCAGCTTGGTAGTTCTCACTGCTACCATCTATCTTCTAGGAACATTTCATGTGGCATCCTCGCTGTAACCCTGGGTTGTGAGAGAAGTCTCATAACTGGTGCTGGTTGTTACCTTTAAAGCCCCATATGACTTGAGACCAGGTTAATTAAAGGACTATCTTCTCCCAAGTTTCTACCCATTCTATTTGGTTTTGTAGATTGAGGATGCTGCAGGTCCTGTCAGCCAAGGAATGTCTGCTGGCATTCCAGAATATCCTTGGAGAAGGCATGCCCGTGGGGACCAAGGAGGCATGCCTTTTAAGCAGTAACTCTTGCCCTTCCAACAGAGCTCAGGATGGCCCCCATCTTTTGTAAGGCTCTAAAGCAGCGGTTCTCAACCTATGGGTCGCGACCCCATTTGGGGTCGATCGACCATTTCACGGGGATCGCCAAGCAAGGCTGTCCACCATTTTTTTCCCCTTTTCCGGCGGGTGCCTTACCTCCCTTGGGCTGGGCCAGCTGGTGGTCGGCCTGCTCCATCTCTGCCGCTTGCCAGCTACGCCTCGGCGGCGCAGGGGGCGGAACCACAGCGGCGCTCCCGGGCAGGGAAAGTCCTCGACTTACGACCGGTTGGGTAGTCCTCGACGTACGACCGGTTTAGTCCTCGACTTACGACCGGTTTAGTCCTCGACTTACGACCGGTTGGGGGTCGCGGCATTAAAAAGGTTTAGAACCACTGCTCTAAAGCCATGGCTGTGTGCATGAGCCTGCGTCCTGAAATACTATAGGGGCCCTGTTACCTGGTTGGAATGTTAATTTTCATGTAATTATGATAATCCTCAGTTGCCTATACGTATAATTTGTAATGGTTTTAATTTTTATGATATTGTTTGCTGTGCCAGAGTCAATTGGATTCAGATAGGCAGGTATATTTGAGTATTGCATAAATAAATAAACACAAACTTGTGCTGTTTTTGTGTTGATAAAAATGAAAAGGAAAAATTCTATAGCACCACCTTCTGGTCATATAGCATTTAGGCATATGACTGTTTCACTTGTTTGATTTGAGTCTAAGTTTCATTAGATCTTCAATCAGAATAGAGCTGGAAGGGATCTTGGAGGTCTTCTAGTCCAACCCCCTCCTCAAGCAGGAGACCTGGCCTATACCATTTCAGACAAGTGACTGTCCAGTCTCTTCTTAAAAAACCCCAGTGATGAAGCACCCACAATTTCTGAGAGCAAGCTGTTCTATTGGTTAATTGTCCTCACTGTTAGGAAATTTCTCCTTAATTCCAGGTTGCGTCTCTTCTCCTCTCCATCCATTGTTTCTTGTTCTGCCCTCTGGTGCTTTGGAAAATAAGTTGACCCCCCTCCTCTTTGTGGCAGCCTCTCAAATACTGGAATACTAGTCCTTCTTTTCTCTAGGCTAGCCAAACCCAAATCCTGCAACCGTTCTTCATATGTTTTAGTCTCCAGGCCTTTAATCCAGTGGTGGGATTCAGCCAGTTCGCACCACTTTGGCAAAACCAGTAGCTAATTTTTTATTGGCCAGGCCCAGAATGGACTTCCAGAAGCGGCATCCACATAGAGAACCAGTTGTTCACATATTTGAATCCCATCACTGCTTTAATCATATTAGTTGCTCTTCTTTGCAACTTCTTTGCAAGTCTCAACATCTTTTTTGTAATGTGAGCAAAACTGGATGCTGTATTCCAGATGTGACTTTACTAAGGCTTTATAAAGTGGTACTAATACTTCACGTGATTTTGATTTTATACCTCTGATTATATTAGCTTTTTTGGCTGCTGCCGCACACTACTGATTCATATTTAAGTGATTGCCCACTAGGACTCCAAAGTCCCTCTCACAGCTACTCTTTTTGAGCCTAATCTGTACTTGTATTTTTGGTTTTTCCTGCCTAAGTGTAAAACCTTGCTTTTTGTTGAATAAGGCCATTGTTTAAGTTTGTCAAGATCTTTTTGGATTCTGAGCTTGTCTTCTGGGATGTTGGCTATTACCAGCTTACTGTCATCTGCAAATTTGATGAGTTCCCCTTCTATTCCCTCATCTCAGTCATTTATGAAGATGTTGAAGAATACTGGGCCTAAGAACCCCACTGCTTACTTCCCTTCATGTAGATATAGTACCGTTAAGGTAATACTTTCCCACATTTTTCTAGCTTACCATGAAATAGGTTGTGGCCTACTTTGTCAAATGCCTTGCTGGCTACTAGTTATAACTTTGTTCCTAGAGATGTTTGCAAATCTGTTGTTTGATTATCTTTTTCAGTATCTTCCCAGGTATTGATGTTAGGCTGATTGGTCTGTAGTTTCCTGGGTCTGCTTTTTTCCCCCTTTTTTGAAACTGGGAACCACATCAACTCTTTTCCAATCCTCAGTAATTTCCCGGTACTCCAGGATTTTTGAAAGATATGGTACAATGGTTCTGAGACAACATATGCCTGCTCCTTCAGAACTCTGGGATGTAATCTGTCAGGTCCTGGTGATTTATATTCATCAAGATCAGATAGGTTCTCTAACCATTTTCTTGCTTATTTTAATTTTTATTTCTAGCCTGTCTTTTACGGTTACATTTTTGGTAGGTTGGGCTATAGTTTGTTTGTTTGTTTGCATGATGCAAAAAATGAATTAAGCAGTTCTGCTTTCTCTCTGCTGCCTGCTACTTCCTTGCTTTCTTCTCTCTTTAGTGGACCTAGTGTTTCCTTGACTTTTTTCTTGTTATTTATATGTTGAAAGAAACTTTTTATTATCTTTGACTTTTATTGTAGATCTTTCTTCATTCTGAGCCTTTGCTTTCCTGACTTCATCTTTGCTGATATTCTGCCTTAGCTATGTGTCCCTCTTTCCCTTTTTTGTTCTTGACCTTTTTGTCTTTTAGTTTATCAGAGATCCTTGTGCAACCATGCTGGTTTCTTCTTGGATTTTTTGCTTTTCTTTTTCAGTGGTATTGCGCTGGACTGGGCTGTTATGATAATATTTTTCAGTTTCCCATGCTTCTTGAGTAGTTTTCCCTTTTAGAATTTTCATCTATGGAATCTTTCTTAGGCTATCTCTGAGTTTGTTAAAATAAGCTCTTTTAAAGTTGAAGACACTGGTTGGATGGATTATGTTCTATTGCTTGTGTTTGCATTATATTGAATTCCAATATGACGTGGTCACTCTTGCTAAAATTCTGGCAACTTCAACTCCCTCTGTCACTTCTTGTAGTGATAATATCACTTATCACTAAGTGATAATACCACATAAAATCATTAAATGATAGTATCACTTCATGAT